ACTGCCGGAGAAGCTCGTCCTCACGCTCCCAAGTACACTCCTCAGGAGTCCTTCCGGTCCACTGCACCTTGACCATCGGAATGATCTTGCTCCTCAGCTGCTTCTCGCCACGATCGAGAATTCTGAGTGGTCCGACGGGAGTCTTTAGGTTCTCCCGAACCTCCACGTCATCCAGTTGCACCACGTGCAACGGATCTGCTATGTACTTCCGAAGCTGAGACACGTAAAACACGTCATGGATGTTAGCCAGGTTCGGAGGCAAGGCAAGCCGGTAGGCAACAGGTCCTACTCTACCAAGGATCTGGTATGGCCCAATATATCGCGAGCTTAGCTTCCTCACTCTGAGTGCCCGACCTACACCGGTGACAGGTGAAAGTCTCACAAAAACGTGCTCACCCTCACTGAACTCCAGTGGACGATGCTTGACATCATAGTAGCTCTTCTGGCGATTCTGCGCCTGCTTCAACTTTTCGCGGATCATCTGAATCTGCAAGGTGGTATCTTGGACAAAGTCCAAGCGAAAAAGCTCCTTGTCCCCAACCTCAGACCAACAAGTAGGAGTCCGACACCTCCTACCATACAGTGCTTCGTAGGGCGCCATGCCCAGGCTAGCATGAAAGCTGTTGTAAGAAAACTCAACCAACGGAAGGTACCTATCCCATGCCGAGCCCTGCTCCAACGTGCAAGCTCGCAACATGTCCTCCAAGGTCTGGATGGTCCTCTCAGTCTGTCCATCAGTCTGAAGGTGATAGGCAGTACTCAATCTCAACTGCGTACCAAAAGCCTCCTGCAGCGCCTCCCAGAACCGAGATGTGAACTTCGGGTCCCTATCACTAACGATACACTCGGGCACCCCGTGAAGCCTCACAATCTCGCAGACATAAAGCTTGGCCAACTGCTCTGTAGTGAAGCTCACCTTCACTGGAAGAAAATGGGCAGACTTCGTCAGTCTGTCCACAATGACCCAAATAGAGTCACAACCCGCCTGAGTCTTCGGCAATCCCACCACGAAGTCCATGGAAATACCTTCCCACTTCCACTGAGGTACTTCAAGAGGTTGAAGTTCACCAGACGGTCTCTGATGCTCAATCTTCACCTTCTGGCAAACCAAACACTTAGACACAAAGACAGCAACATCTCTCTTCATGCCCGGCCACCAGAAGTTCTTCTTCAAGTCTTGATACATCTTAGTAGCACCAGGGTGGATAAAAACTGACTCTTATGGCCTTCTGCCATAACCTCCTCTGTTAACGGGCCTCGAGGAACTACAATCCTCTGCTGAAACAAAAGCAATCCATCCTCATTCCAAGACACACCATCTTAGTTCTTCGCATAATCCAGACACTCTCTGAACTTGTGCCTCTTTAATCTTTTCAAGCAGCTCGTTCACAACATCGGATGCTTCCAATCCGAGAAGTACACTCTCACACGAAGCGGTCACTGCCAAGTTGCGGAACTTCTCAACCACATCGAAGTTACCAAGTAACAAACTGGATGAACTACTGGATTTCCGACTCAAAGCATCAGCTACCACATTGGCCTTGCCAGGATGATACCTTAGCTCGAAGTCGTAGTCCTTTATGAACTCCATCCATCTCCTCTGCCTCATGTTCAACTCCTTCTGGTCGAACAGGTACTTCAAACTCTTGTGGTCACTGAAAACCACAAACCTCAAGCCAAAAAGATAATGCCTCCAAATCTTGAAAGCAAACACAATAGCAGCCAACTCCAAGTCATGAGTAGGGTAGTTCTCCTCGTGAGGTTTCAACTGCCTCGAAGCATAGGCGATCACTTTGCCCAACTGCATCAACACACAACCTAGCCCCTTCCCGGAGGCTTCGGATTAAAGCTCAATCTCATGCGCAGGATCAGGAAGGAACAACACAGGAGCAGTAGTCAGTCTCTCCTTCAACTCCTGAAAACAGACCTCACACTCGTGAGTCCACACAAATGGAGTCTCCTTCCGAGTAAGGCGAGTCAATGGCAAAACCATGGTGGAGAATCCCTTGATGAACCTCCGATAGTAACCTGCCAAACCCAGAAAGCTCCTCACTTCTGTAACTGTCTTGGGTCTCTCCCAATCCAGCACGGCCTCAATCTTGTTCGGATCCACTGCAACTCCCTCAGCAGAAATAACATGCCCAAGGAACTTCACAGATTTGAGCCAGAACTCACATTTGGAAGGCTTCGCATACAGCTTCTTCTCTTTCAGCACTTGCAGAACAGTTCTCAAATGCTCAACATGCTCCTCCTCCGTCCTTGAGTAAATCAAAATATCGTCAATGAAGACGATCACAAACTGATCCAGGTACGGCTGGAAAATCTGGTTCATGTAATCCATGAACACAGCAGGTGCATTGGTGAGACCGAACGGAATCACCAAGTACTCAAAATGACCATATCTCGAGCGAAATGCGGTCTTCGGGACATCCTCCGGCTTCACCCAAATCTGATGGTATCCGGACCGGAGATCAATCTTGGAATACACACAAGCACCCCTGAGCTGATCCAACAGATCATCAATCCGAGGAAGAGGATACTTGTTCTTGATTGTCACCTTGTTCAGCTGCCTGTAGTCGGTGCACAATCGCATTGTCCCGTCCTTCTTCTTCACGAAGATAACCGGTGCTCCCCAAGGAGACACACTCGGTCTAATGAAGTCTTTCGCTGAAAGATCCTCAATATGCTTCTTCAGCTCTGCCAACTCCGGTGGCGACATCCGGTATGGAGCTAAAGAAATCGGCCTCACACCAGGCAACAGATCTATGGAGAACTCTATCTCCCTCTGTGGCGGAAACTCAGGAATCTCCTCAGGAAACACCTCGAGGAACTCCCTCACCACAGGAATGCCAGTGATGTCCTCCTGTGTACCACTCACCAAACCTCCCAACATGACATAACCAAATGCCCCTCCTCTCAAGGCTCTCCTAGCCTGCAGCAACGAAATGTACGGCGAGGAACTGGCTGTGGAATCACACGGAGACAACACTACACGCTTGGCACAACAATCAATCATCACACAATTTCTGGACAGTCAATCCATGCCCAGAATAACCTCCAAGTTGGCCATCGGCAACCCTATCAGATCTACCGAGAATTCACGGCCATCCCACTGAAACGCCACATCGCGATGAACAGTGGTAGCATCACATCTTTCTCCGGTGGCGGTGGTCACCCGCATCGGTGGAGAAAGCACATCACTGGGCAACTCAAGCCCCACAGCAATCGGGGTAGCAACAAAAGAATGCGTAGCCCCAGAGTCAAACAACACATCAACAGCTGATGAACCAATCGTAACAGTACCTCTGACAAGGTTCGGAGCTCGATCCGACTGCTGACGATCCAGAGTATAAACTCTCCCAGAAGATGGTGGCACTACCGGTGCCGAAGTAGGTGGAAGGGGAACCATCTGAAGTGGCACTGCCTGCACTGCAGTAGCCCTCGTCGTCGCCGACGGACAATCTCTGGAGAAGTGGCCCTCCTTGCCACACTGAAAGCAAATCAACTGGCCGGTAGAACACGGCCCAAAATGAGTCTTCCCGCATCCCGAACACCTGGGAGCAGGAGGTCTCGCTGCACTCCCCTGAACAGAAGTCCTCTTGAACTGACTCGGCGCCTGCCGAGCTGCCAACTGTTTACCCTGGCCCTTGTTCCTAAACTTCCTGTCTCGCCAAGAAGTGGAACTACCAGCTGCAACCTTCGTCGCCTCAGCAACCTTGGCCTTCTTGGCCTTCCTCGAGCTGTAGAAATCTTCAATATCACGACACTGCTGAACCAGTGTCCCAAAATCTCTAGAAGCAGAACCAGCTAGGTAACCAGCAATATCCTCACTAAGTCCCCTACGGAACTTAGCAGCCAGAAATGTAGGAGTAGGCCTCGCCATCCTGAAGTGTGCAAACTTCACCAACTGGTTGAACTTGGCCAGGTACTCGTCCACAGACAACGAGCCCTGAACCAATCTGTCGAACTCTCCCTGCTGCCTCTCCTGAGCGACATATGGAAAATACTGACCCAAGAAGAAGTCCTCAAACATAGGCCAAGTCCACCACTCATGGGCATCACCCTCCAGCATGTAAGTAGCGAACATCAACTTCTGCGGATCTGTGCACTGCATGACCCCAAAAATCTTGTCCAACGCCTGAAGTCAACGTGCCGCAGCAACAGGATCAAAAGACCCATCAAAAGCAGGTGGCTTATGCTTACGGAAAGCATTCAGCCGGCGATCGATCTCCTCACGATCCTTAACAAAAACAAGGACGGTCTGCATGGCCCCCGTAAGATGACTGCCATCTCCCATCTGACTCTGAGAGTCATCCTGCAGACTGGGTTGAGGTGGAGGTGGTGGTGGTGGCGGTGGCGGTGGAGGTGGTGGCGGAGGAACATGGCCAACAGCAAGACCATTCCTCATCTCCTCCAACATGACTCTAAACATCGTCATGTTCGCCAGACGGTTGGCCTCCAACACGTCCTCAGTGGCCTTCCTGTTCACCTCTCTGACGGCGTCCAGCTGCCTGGTTTGCCATTCTCATGGCCTCTTGGTCGGCTAGTTGGGCCGCCTGCATCTCAGCTAATGCAGCCAGGAAAGGATCGGGCCGATCCTCCGAAGTCTCGCGGTTCCTCCCGGGTCTTACCATGATTCTGCACAAGTTGCACAAATTATGAGTTGATCAGGCCCACGCAATGTGGTCACATATGCATTATCATAATAATACTCGACGGAGCAAACACACAAAACAGACACAACCAAACTTCCTAATCATTGCAATACATACAGGCTTTTCCCTTGAACCGTTGCTTTGATACCATAAAATGTAACACCCCGTGTATACCCGGAATATTAACATTACATCGTATTAAGCGGTGCTTAATTAAAAATGCGAAATATTCTTTTTCTTTTCAATTATGACGTCATTATCAATTACCAACTTGATTACTTAATCAATTTCATAAAATATCGCCTGTATGTAAATTGCAATAAGACATCTACTGAAATACCTCAATATATAAATAAAGTGTGTATCTAAATCACGGCATTACATCAAGTAATCCGGACAATATCCTGATACACTAATACAACTCCAAAAGACTCAAGACATAACCAAGACATAATAATACTATGTGTCATGGACAATCCCCATGCTCACCAAATAACATAGTAAACAACAAGTCTCAACATAAAACTCCATAAACATAAACTGAAGCTATAAGCATAAGCAGCATGCAAATCCAGCATCCAATCATGGCAGCATAATATAACAGCAATCTAACTCAGCTCCGGCCTCCTGCCTCCTGAGGTCTCAACATTACCTGACCCTGAAATAAGCATTCCCCAAACGTGGGGTGAGATCTCTAAACTAGAAATCTCAGTAAGACAAGGGGTCCTCAAGGATCTTCCACCCCAAGCTCACTTACATGTGCAATATAAGTTCAAAAAGCATTTATATCATTATCAGTTCCAAAACTATGTAGTGCAACAGATATCTATGGCATGTGTGTATATCACTATCTACTGGCCAGAGAAATGTAGGGATGCGTCTATTCCCTACATGTAGTACAAGGAACACCGCTTGCACCTCACCCACAGCCTCACCCTCTTGTATGTTCTACATACTCAGGCTTACCGTATAGGTGGAACACCTCCATGCATATCAACAAGGCACTAACATATAATAGCTCAACAGCATTTCCAAAACATCAAAAGCATGTAACACAGCATGCATATACCATACCCCCATGGGACATGGTAGAACCACAACATGGCTAAACCGAGGACACGAAAGCTTACCTCTAAGCTAGCTATCCAATGCCACAAGCTCAAAGTCCAATCAATAACATATACCACATGCATACAAACTAAAGACAACGCATTTTCATTACGTTTTCAAGTCTTAAAGCTTCTAACGAAGCCACAAGCCCTAAATCCCATGATTCTGGCTTAATCCATTAAATACAGAAGTTCAACTTCATCAATCTAGGGTCTACAAACCCCCAATAGCCTACTGTATGCACAGCACAGCTACTGTTCTGCGAAATCCCAGAATATCCGGATACTCCTCGGGACCATATCCGGATATGCAATATCCGGATATCTCACTGTACATATCCGGATATTCAATATCCGGATATCCAGAATCCCATATCCGAATATACAATATCCAGATATCTGAAACCCCATATACGGATACATATAACCGGATACATATATCCGGATATCCCATATCCGGATATTCCACGGGCAGATATCCGGATATTTCACGACAGAATGCAGTTTCTGCATTTCCGTGAAGATATCCCTTAAAGGTTCCCTTTTACCGATTTTAAACACCTAATCATGCATTTCTAGGTGTGTTAAGCCTTACCCAACAACAAGTTATCATCTTTTAACCTTAACATGCATCAAGCTTCCATTTTTAAGCCTTAAAACCCAAGTTAAAGGTTGGTACAACATACCAAGACTCAAAACTCAGAATGGAGATGCTCTTGGAGCTCACTAGACACCTCCAAGATTCTGCCTCCCACTGCACACGAAAATGGTGCACCAAGGTGGTTCTTTTACACAACAAGGAGGCTCCTTGAAGATTCAAAACACCAAGAACAAGATGACTCCTCTCAAACCCTCAAACTCAGCCCCCTCACCAGCTCAACACAGAAGCTGGAACCTCAGAAAAGACCCTCCTTTCACTCCCACAAGGATGCTCTCAAGTGTTTACAAGGTTAAGAGAAGGGAAATCAAGAGTAAAAGCTTGAAGACTCAACACAAAAGAGAAGGAAGCACAAGAGCAATGACCAGCAGCTGACCACACCAGAAACTCACGTAGAAGAGAGTGGCACCTAGGGTTTTGTGCCCATAATGAGAGTATTTATAGCCAAAACTCACTTAAGCACGCAGTATTAACTTTAAATGCTACGCTTAGCATTTTAATCCCAAACTTTGGATTATGAAACTACATAATTTTCTAAGAATTATCAAATTTTTCTTATAATTTTCTGAGCAACTTTCTGGTACGCGCTTTTCCAAGTCAGTACCGGTTTCTAGCATCAGTTCTCATTATTTGGACTTGAAACTCGTTTTACAAGTCCTACATATTATTCTAGTAATTATCATGCACTTACATTAATTTTCCGGGATACTTTTTTGGTACCCAATTATACCGACTAGCAGAACCGGTATCTGCACTTTTCTTTCGAAAAGCGACTTTCGGCATTCTTAATCACTTATTATGATTATTAAGCCTCATAATAATTATTAAGGTCAATTATGGAATCATCTCTTATTTTTGCATAATTAATTAACTAAATCCATTAATTAACGGTGCGGGTTCTTACACAGAGCATAGAAGAAGAACTGTGCAGTCTAAGTATTTCAAGGATGTGAAACATTTAGCAAAAAATGTTTCTAATTTCCTTGGAATCCCATAAATTTTTCGTAGAAGCCTGCAATCATCGAGCTTTAGGTTCCTCCAAAGAGTGACATTATTTGATGGATGAATTAAAAGTGAAATTATTCAACGATAGGTTCAAATCTTTCACATTGGCAAACCATGTAAGACATGTATCAGAAGGAATTCATCTGATATATAGCAGTACGAGAGAATAAGATATTCTTTGTTTGAAAACACCATTTCATCACCATGATCTAGTTTAGATAACCACAACCCTACACATCTTCAAGTATGCAATACTTGGAGAATAAACCATTCCAAAGAATTGCAGTTCTAATATTTAAAGCTAAGAACGTTTTGAATTGAAATGGCAATTCTTTTATAGGACTCCCAATTACATGAAGCACTATTATATTTTCCATCCACCCTGATATTTCTGGAAAACTCTCAAGAATTATGCAATGTGAAAGATTGAGTTGTTCAAGATAGGTCAATCTGATTAGTTGAAAAGTCCTAAGCTTCTTGCAACAAACAGTAACCAAGATTCTAAGTTTATCAAGAAATCCAACTGACTCGTGAATTTCAATTAAATTCTTACAATGTTTAAAAGATATTGATGGGCCATGAGCCTAAAAGTAGTGAATTAGTTAGTTTGTTATGGAAATTATTCTAAAATATTGCTAAAATATAGGATAAAAGGTAGGTAGTATGGTAGTGTGGGTATGCATGAATTGAGTATTTTGGTGAAAGGAGATTTGGTGAAGGATCTCTAGGGATCTCTTGAGCCTTGGTATTTGGCTTTAAGGGTGAGTTGAGATCTCTTTGGTGTATCGTTTATATTTCATAGTTATTCCTTTTGCAATTCTTTTTGTATTTCATTGTTATGTTGACTAGATCTTGTTCTTTTAATTATGGGTTCCATCAATTTGGTATCAGAGCCTTCCACTATGTCTCCCGGTTGCAATCGAGCGACGCGGGTGGTGACGGCGGCATTACAATGTTCGCCCAGGGCTAGTAAAAGACTAACGCAAAGCCAGCCCGCGTGGGCGCGGGGACTGCGGAGCGTGGTGGAATGTTAGACTCATTTGCAAGGTATGGGACTTGGAGTTCCACATTGGTTGTATGGTCAACTAATGTGGGATTTATAAGGCCTTAGGCACTCCCACTCTTTGAGCTAGCTTTTGGGGTGGTGCATCCCAAAGTTCTTATCAGATAATTTTTCTAAATTCGGGAGGCCAGATTCATCAAGTAAATGAGTTACTGAAATCCAAAATTGCCAGACATGTGAACCTCTGCAACAAAAAAAATGAGCCAAATGAATGATCATAAGAATTTAAAGATTTTTTATTAATGTACAACGACACTGAACCTTATACACATATGAGGCTTGCCTGAATTGGTTCACTTATCAAGTTATCATTAAGCAGCTATCAGATAACCCGAGTATGGCAAGTTTCTTTGGATGAAAATCAAATGAAAAAGATGGGGAAGGATATCCCCACCATTTAAGCACACTTAGCCATGCAGAAGATGTGTGGAGCCTATAGAAAAGGGCAATTTCTAATAATTAGTGTTTTGAGGTTTTCCATCTTCTTCAAGGCCTCTCCATCCCAATATACTTCCTTACTTTGGGTCGGGGAAATCCAGAATTAAGCTTTCAATTGTACTAGATCCCTTTTAAGATAAAAGAACAGATCAACCACAATACATTTATATCATTTATATATGTTAGAAACTCAACATGCATATTCAGACATATTCACATATTATAAAGAGAAAAATTAATTGTAAATTGATACTGTAGAAAATTAGAATTCAAATATTTTCTGTTTTTATTTCATATTGATTAGGATTGATTGTGATTGATTAGAATTGATTGTGATTAGGATTGATTAGTCATCGCTGAGTCATTCTTAGCTATTCTTTCTTGTATAAGTACTCCCCATGTAATTTATTCAATATCAATATACAAAAACCTTTTTTTTACAATATGGTATCAGAGCAGGTTCGTTCCTACCCTAAATCAGCCACCTTCAAGGTTGAAATCATCCAAAAACCATCCAAACACAATCCAACCTAAACTCAAACCCCATAAACCATACCTACAAACCTCCAATCGAGAAGGTGGAGTCATCATTCAACTTAGAAGGCTCCGACGAGTTGAACGCCACCGGATCTGTCGCCGTCAAACTGCCCACGCGCCGCCACTCTCCAGCGCGTGTAGTCCACGCGCTGCCTTCCCAAAAAAAATTTCCGGAGCGAGCTGCCCAGATCACCTCGTCGGCATTTTCTCTACCTGTTCCAGTGGTCAGATGTAAAATCGGAGCAAATTTTTTTTTTTAGGTCCACGGTTAAACCTTCTATTTCTATTCATGGCTTCCTCGAATCGTTCTTCTGCCTCCTCATCTGCCTAAAATTCTCAGCCCTCCGGAGACAACTTAAGTTTGCAGATCACTAGTCACCGGTTGAACGGTAAGAATTTTCTGCAATGGTTTCAATCGGTTAAGTTGGTCATCCGGGCAAAGGGTAAGATGGGCTATCTCGAGGGAAAAATTAAGAAACCTGCTGAGGATTCTCCTGATTATGAAAATTGGGAGATTAATAATTCATTGGTCATGGCTTGGCTGACTAATTCCATGGAACCACAGATTGGCCAAACCTTTTTTTTCTTCGATACTGCCAAGGAAATTTGGGATGTTGTTCAACAAAATTACTCAGATCTGAAGAATACCTCTCAAGTCTTTGAACTGAGAAATAAGTTGAGAGACTTTCGTCAAAGGGGTATGACTATTACTGAATATTTTACTGCACTAACAAATTTATGGCAGAAATTGGATCTTTATTATGCATCCGATCTTAAGGGATTGGAAGCTAATACCAAGTTTAAAAAACACTTGGAGAAGGAATAACTTTATGATTTCCTTGCCAGAC